AAGAAAAAGCAAGACAGTAGAGAGTAACCTCAACTTAGGTACACACAATCAAACCTTCAAACAACTAAGACAACTAAATGACAGGAATCACCACATACCTATCAGTACTAACACTTAATGTTAACGGACTTAATTCACCCATCAAAAGGCACCGCTTGACGAAATGGATTAAAAGGGAAGATCCAACAATTTGTTGCTTATAGGAGACCCATCTCAACCACAGAAATAAGCATAGGCTTAGGATGAAAGGCTGGAAGAAGATTTACCAAGCCAATGGCCCCCGAAAACAGGCAGGAGTAGCAATACTTATCTCTGACAAAGTAGACTTCAAACCTACATTGATCAAACGAGATAAAGAAGGACATTCCATACTAATAAAAGGGGAAATAGACCAAAAGGAAATAATAATCATCAACCTGTATGCACCCAATGTCAACGCACCCAATTTCATCAAACATACCCTGAAAGACCTAAAAGCATATATTAACGCCAACACAGTGGTTGTGGGAGACTTTAACACCCCATTATCATCAATAGATAGGTCATCCAAAAAAAAATCAATAAAGAAATCCAAGATCTAAAATATACAATAGATCAAATGGACCTAGTTGATGTCTACAGAACATTTCATCCAACTTCTACACAATATACATTCTTCTCAGCAGCCCATGGAACCTTCTCCAAAATAGATCATATCCTAGGGCACAAAGCAAGTCTCAGCAAATATAAGAAAATAGAAATTATACCGTGCATACTATCTGATCACAATGCAGTAAAAGTAGAACTCAACAACAAAAGTAAGGACAAAAAACATGCAAACAGCTGGAAACTAAATAACTCATTACTTAATGAAGAATGGATCATCAATGAAATAAAAGAGGAAATTAAAAAGTTCCTGGAACTCAATGAAAATGAAAACACAACCTATTGGAACCTATGGGACACAGCTAAGGCAGTCCTGAGAGGAAAGTTTATAGCCATGAGTGCATATATTAAAAAGACTGAAAGATCCCAAATCAATGACCTAATGATACATCTCAAACTCCTAGAAAAACAAGAACAAGCAAATCCCAAAACAAATAGAAGGAGAGAAATAATAAAAATAAGAGCTGAAATCAACGAAATAGAAACCAAAAAAACCATACAAAGAATTAATGAAACAAAAAGTTGGTTCTTTGAAAAAATAAACAAGATCGATAGACCCCTGGCAAACCTGACTAAAATGAGGAGAGAAAAAACCCAAATTAGTAGAATCAGGAATGCAAAAGGGGATAACAAAAACACCATGGAAGTCCAGGAAATCATCAGAGACTACTTCGAGAACCTATATTCAAATAAATTTGAAAATCTTAAAGAAATGGACAGATTTCTAGATACATATGATCATCCAAAACTGAACCAAGAGGAAATTAATCACCTGAATAGACTATAACACAAAATGAAATTGAAGCAGCAATCAAGAGTCTCCCCAAAAAGAAAAGTCCAGGACCTGATGGATTCTCTGCTGAATTCTATCAGACCTTTAAAGAAGAACTGATACCAACCCTCCTTAAACTGTTCCACGAAATAGAAAGGGAAGGAAAACTGCCAAACACATTTTATGAAGCCAGTATTACACTTATCCCAAAACCAGGCAAAGACACCTCCAAAAAGGAGAACTATAGGCCAATCTCCTTAATGAACATTGATGCAAAAATCCTCAACAAAATAATGGCAAACCGAATTCAACAACACATCAAAAAGATTATTCACCACGACCAAGTAGGCTTCATCCCAGGGATGCAGGGGTGGTTCAACATACAAAATCAATAAACGTAAATAAACCACATTAACAGAAGCAAAGACAAAAACCACTTGATCATCTCAATAGATGCAGAAAAAGCCTTTGATAAGATCCAACACCATTTCATGATAAAAGCTCTAAGAAAACTAGGAATAGAAGGAAAGTACCTCAACATTATAAAAGCTATATATGACAAACCTACAGCCAGCATTATACTTAACGGAGAAAAACTGAAACCATTCCCTCTAAAATCAGGAACCAGACAAGGATGCCCACTATCTCCACTCCTATTCAACATAGTACTGGAATTCCTAGCCAGAGCAATTAGGCAAGAAGAAGGAATAAAAGGAATACAAATAGTAAAGAAACTGTCAAAATATCCCTATTTGCAGATGACATGATCCTATACCTTAAAGACCCAAAAAACTCTACTCAGAAGCTTCTAGACATCATCAATAGCTACAGCAAGGTAGCAGGATATAAAATCAACATAGAAAAATCATTAGCATTTCTATACACTAACAATGAGCAAACTGAAAAAGAATGTATGAAAACAATTCCATTTACAATAGCCTCAAAAAAAATCAAATACCTAGGTGTAAACCTAACAAAAGATGTGAATGACCTCTACAAGGAAAACTATAAACTTCTGAAGAAGAGATTGAGGAAGACTATAGAAAGTGGAGAGATCTCCCATGCTCATGGATTGGTAGAATCAACATAGTAAAAATGTCGATACTCCCAAAAGTAATCTACATGTTTAATGCAATTCCCATCAAAATTCCAATGACATTCATTAAAGAGATTGAAAAATCTACCATGAAATTTATATGGAAACACAAGAGGCCACTAATAGCCAAGGCAATATTCAGTCAAAAGAACAATGCTGGTGGTATCACGATACCTGACTTCAAACTATATTACAAAGCAATAAAATTAAAACAGCATGGTACTGGCACAAAAACAGACATGAAGACCAGTGGAACAGAATAGAAGACCCAGATATGAAGCCACACAACTATAACCAACTTGTCTTTGACAAAGGAGCTAAAAATATACGATGGAGAAATAGCAGCCTCTTCAACAAAAACTGCTGGGAAAACTGGTTAGCAGTCTGCAAAAAACTGAAACTAGATCCAGGTATATCACCCTATACCAAGATTAACTCAAAATGGATCAAGGATCTAAATATCAGACCACAAACTCTTAAGTTGATACAGGAAAGAGTAAGAACTACTCTGGAGTTAGTAGGTATAGGCAAGAACTTTCTCAATGGAACACCAGCAGCACAGCAACTAAGAGATAGCAGAGATAAATGGGACCTCATAAAACTAAAAAGCTTCTGTTCATCAAAAGAAATGGTCTCTAAACTGAAGAGAACACCCACAGAGTGGGAGAAAATATTTGCCAGACATCAGACAAAGGACTGATAACCAGAATATATAGGGAACTTAAAAAACTAAATTCTCCCAAAACTAATGAACCAATAAAGAAATGGGCAAGTGAACTAAACAGAACTTTCTCAAAAGAACAAATTCAAATGGCCAAAAAACACATGAAAAAATGCTCACCATCTCTAGCAATAAAGGAAATGCAAATTAAAACCACACTAAGATTCCACCTCACCCCTGTTAGAATATCCATCATTAGCATCATTAGCCATCATTAACAACAGGTGTTAGTGAGGATTGGGGGGGAAGGAACCCTCATACACTGTTGGTGGGAATGTAAACTAGTACAACCACTCTGGAAAAAAATTTGGAGGCTACTCAAAAAGCTAAACATTGATCTACCATTTGATCCAGCAATACCACTCTTGGGGATATACCCAAAAGACTGTGACACAGGTTACTCCAGAGGCACCTGCACACCCATGTTTATTGCGGCACTATTCACAATAGCCAAGTTATGGAAACAGCCAAGATGCCCCACCACTGACAAATGGATTAAGAAAATGTGGTATCTATACACAATGGAATTTTATGCAGCCATGAAGAAGAACGAAATGTTATCATTCGCTGGTAAATGGATGGAATTGGAGAACATTATTCTGAGCGAGGTTAGCCTGGCCCAAAAGACCAAAAATCGTATGTTCTCCCTCATATGTAGACATTAGATCAAGGGCAAACACAACAATGGGATTGGACTTTGAGCACATGATAAAAGCGAGAGCACACAAGGGAGGGGTGAGGATAGGTAAGACACCTAAAAAATTAGCTAGCATTTGTTGCCCTTAACGCAGAGAAACTAAAGCAGATACCTTAAAGCAACTGAGGCCAATAGGAAAAGGGGACCAGGAACTAGAGAAAAGGTTAGATCAAAAAGAATTAACCTAGAAGGTAACACACATGCACAGGAAATCAATGTGAGTCAACTCCCTGTATAGCTATCCTTATCTCAAGTAGCAAAAACCCTTGTTCCTTTCTATTATTGCTTATACTCTCTCTACACAAAATTAGAAATAAGGGCAAAATAGTTTCTGCCGGGTATTGAGGGGGTGTTGGGGGAGGGACGGGGCAGATTGCGTGGTAAGGGAGGGGGTGGGGGCAGGGGGGAGAAATCACCCAAGCCTTGTATGCACATATGAATAATAAAAAAAATGCCCTACACAATTTAGGACACCATTATGTCTCTGAACTCATCACTCACTCTATTCCAGTCACATGACCCTCTGGCAGGTCCTCCTAGATTCAAGTAGCCTCTCACCTCAGAGATTTTACACTTGCTGTTCTCTTTGTCCAGAATACCTTCCCAGACATGCACAGGTCAGTCCTTCACTTTTTCTAGATACTTACATGTCCTGGTCTCAGTGAGGACCTCTCTGGCCACTTCCTATTCACTTCCCCCACTTTATTTTTCTCATTAGTACTTATCACTATGTATTTTTATTTAGCTCTCTTGATTATTGTCTCCACTAGAATGTACATTCAATGAGGACCAGAACTTTTGTCTGTTTTGTTCACTGTTAAATCTCCAGTACTAACACAGTGCTTGGAAAGTAGTTGGAATACAACTGCCACACAACAAATAGTATTGTTTTTCTTCTCTGTCTTCCTGTTGAGTCACTACTAAGAATATTTTAAAGAATATCAGCAACAATGCAATGTCACTACAAAAAAAATTTCAAATTTTCTGAAACATGAACCTATCACTCATTTACTGCATGAGCTAAAATAACAGTTCTAAAGATGTCTTTCTCCAAAATGTAAGTGTTTACCTTTGTAAAATCATTCTTTAAAGTTTCTAAGCCATCCTGACAAGACATTCTTTTCCTCTGCTCTGGGGCTTGAGGCTTCACTTTAGAAGGGGACACTAAAACAGCTCCACCTGGAAAAATGCAGGAGAAGCCAGGTTTCAATTAAACTAAAACACATGCAGACAAAGCAGGTTAAATAGGAACCACACAGTGCGTGCCTATTACCAACAGCTGGAGTAGTAAGATCATGATGAGTCCTTTGGATTCCACCAAGTTCTCTCAGCTTCGGAGTGGGAAGCCTGCCTCCTTTTCCTGACAGTACAGAAGAAGCATCCGACCTACAAATTCAAACAATCTATTAAGAAGCACTCCTCCAGAAAACATGATTGAAAATGCTTTGTATCATTGCATAATAATGCAAAATTTATACTAAAAGGTCATTTTGTTTCTGAAAAATAACAATCAAATTCTTATGCAGTTAAGAGGAACTGAATACTGGATGGCAAATCAGCAACAACACGGTGAGATTCTTCCATTCATCAGGGCCCAAGTTCTACATCAGCTACAACATCCATGAATAAATAAAGACAACAGACAAAACATACCACTACCAATGGTAAAGAACCAGACTCAAAGCAATTTGTACATAAAATGATAGGAATTAGCTATTTTCAGAAATTGCTTTTAAAAAAATTGTCCTTTAAAAACACTGTCCTTTTTTTTTTTTTTTTGGTAGAACCATCTTATACTTACGAACATCAGCTTTTCTCCTAAAACATAAAGAAAGCTATTCTTCCAGACACATTTGTAAATCTGGCAAGTCATAACTACAGAACATATATAAAAATAATCCTGCTTCCTCCCAACTAGCCCAGTGTTTAAGTGTCCAAATACCAATTAGTAGTGACTCAAATATCTGAGTGAATCAAATTATAGGCATGCACCATATAGCAATGCCTAAAGTAACATCTTCTCTTTATTAGTCATAAGACAAAAAATGTATACCATTATACTTAGTGACAAAATAAAACACGTATTAGTCATGTACCATAACACACCAACAACTGAGGAACTTAAAACTCTCACCCTTCTTTCATCGAGTCTGCCTTAGGTTTCTCATGTTCATCCAAGTTCTCTGGCTCTCCTACATACACCTGCTTATCCCTTCCGGGTTTCTCCTCCTCCTCTTCCTCGCTGGGCTGTTTCTGTATGTCTTCACTAGTGCTCTCGGCATCCCAAGCCAGCCTCCTTCTAGCAGGTGTGGTGGGAACATTGGACCCATCCAGTTTCTCTGTGGTATTTCTCTGTGGCTGTTCTTCCAAGATACCTCTTTTTTCTTCCAGTTTTGAAGGAGGATGTTTCTGCAAAGTCTTATGGCTCATAGGATCTCTGCATGACAAATGAAGTTTTATTTTAAATTGAGTAGTTTGAGGTTTCTAGTGTATATTAATTTTAGTGACTCCATCATTTCCTTCAACTGTTCACAATTATGTTTCTCACAGATACTGATTTCCTCACCCAAGTATTGAGGAAAGAGTCTATTTAAAAGTTCATTCTGTAGCATAATAAATGAAGATTACCATCTGAGTGTCTATTAAAATTCCAAAATATATTTATTTGCCCTTACTCCTACTTTCACACATTCATGCCTGCATCTCTGGCAACAAAAATCATTCTTAGTCCCAAAACTGGGATTGACATGTACAAACTGGGACCCCACACGTGGTAAAACCTTGTTCAGTTACTACGTTGACATTGTGCATACTTATAACCAAATATGCCAACACTCAAATTTTATACTTTAGGTTCATCTTTCCAAGATCTTATGATAAGCTTTTAAACCAGATGTTGCATAATTAGGATTTATAAATCAATCTGGTATTTATGACTATATGAATACCCTGTAACAACTAACACTATTTTCTACAAATCAATGTGCAATTTCTCTTAAAAATGGTTAATTTATGTTCACTTTAAAACCCCAAGCAGCAGAGAATTCTCCTAAAGTCAGGGACCAAGTTCCACACAAAACCCACTAAAGCCACAAAAATCCACTAATGAATGATAATGGATATTATGGATATGTACTAACAGTTTATATTCTCTGAGTTTTATTGTTACCTCTCTTTTTTTTAACTTTTAATTTTAAAGTCCTTTTACATCTACCATATAATCACTTTTCTTTCTTTCTTTCTTTGGAGTTAGTAAGGTTTGAACTCAGGGCCTCAAGCTTGCTAGGCAGACACCCAACCACTTGAGCCATGCCTCCAGACATTTTTTGCTTAAGTTATTTTTCAGATGGGGGTCTTGCAGTTTTTGCCCAGATTGGTCTGGACCATTATACTCCTACTTACATTCTCCTACACAGCTGGGACTACAGGTGCAGACCAACACACCCAGCTTATTTGTTGAGATGAGTTCTTGCTAACTTTTTACCCCAGCTGACCTCAAACCTTGTTCCTCCTTATTTCTACCTCTTACGTAGTTGAGATTACAGGCATGTACCACCACACCCAGTCTTACCATATAATCATTCTTGCTCTTAATTATTACAATAATAATTACAATTCTTTTTAACAATTGAAAAGAGTATTACAGGGGGAACCTAACCAAAGTATACTGTAAGCATATATAGAAATTTCACAATGAAACCCCCCTATACAACTCATATATGCTAATAAAGATGTTTTTAAAACTAAAAAATTATAGATCTCATCATTCCTGAATTGTATTGTGTATTATTTACACACAAATACATAACATGAATACATACAGCTTTATCGCAGAAAAGAAATTGAAAATAATGAAATAAATGGCTGCCATGTTTCCATTTGACTAGAAGACAAATCCTGAGTAGTTATGTCATTTTCCTACATTGCTCTATGATCCATATAAACTACAACATACTTTTCTCACCACCCACAAAGGACATCTCACCCAGCAAGATCTAATGCTCTGATGTTGCTACTGATGGTTCCTTCTGAGCTTGTGGTTGAGGAGACATCCCAACAGCAGTTTTTATCAGACAGAATCTGATTCAGATGATCCCGAGAAAAATGTGTTCCCTGAACTCGTTTCCTATAAAATTCAGCCTTTTCTCGGAGTTCTTTAACCTATGCAGGAGAGTTCAGACGTCATATATTATTGTAAATGCTTCTTTATAAATGTCACCAAGTAGCATATCAAAGACATTGTACAAATACAGCCAGAAATCAAGGAGAAAGGAAGGCAAAACGGCCACATACAGTCATCAGACTATGTGCATTTGAGCAGAAATTAAAACAATCAAGCTAAGCACAATGCAGTTATTTTATCTGAGACCAGCAAGCAGTAAGAAATCTGTAGCAACTAAGACAAATATTGTCACCTACTTTTTACTCCAACTGAAATTACACAAGTATTCTATGCATTGTTACAATTTTTAAAAATTCAAAAGCTACCAACCTCTGCATACCACATGGCATTTAGAGAACCCTAAGGGAGGAATACAGAAACACACTTAATGACAGGTTAATGCCATAACTGAATACTAATGGGAATCAATCACATACTGTACCTTATTAGTCCTCCTTTTAAGTATATGCCAAACTTGTCAGACAGTATTTCTTGTGCTTTTGGTAATATATAATTTAGTAGTCAAGATATCTTAATATTACCTTGAGAACTAGCCACATTCTTGCATGACTGGGGTGCCGTCAATGACAGGTAACCTAATTGCTATTTGTATTTCCCCACCTCTGGAAGAGTACTTACATGCCCAAAACTCCCAACCTGGCTTCATGACCTGGCTTCATGTCCCATCTTCATATACAGCTGCCACTACTAGAGAAGCCCCCACTGAGAGAGTGGTGACGTTCCTTCTCCAAATCCCTCAAATTCCCTTGGAATCAGCAAAACCTCCAATTTTAGAAAATGTTCTAAATGCATAATTTAAAAGAAACTTATACAAATAATTGTAATAAATTCAATAAGTGACAGGATATTTTTTAAATGTTCTGATGGATTACAGGATAACTGAATTCCCTAATGCATAAATAATGTATTTTCACATGAAAAGGAGCCATCCTTTTATTTCATACATCACACTGCCACCTACTGGCTTCTCTAAATACAATTCCACTATATTAAAAAAAAAGAAAAATTAGGTTGAAGCTTCACCCTTAAAATTCTGATTAAATTTTTTTACTTTAGAAAAAAACATATAGTATTTTCTATCATAAAGACAATTTACTATCATTTAAAGCATATCAGGATACTGTGTGCTAGAACTGTTTGTTTCACTTACAGACAAAAAAAAGAGCAAATCATGAAACGTGGCAATGCAAGATCAACTAGAGAAACATGTCCTCAGCTGCTTAACAAGACACTATTCAGAGTGCAAATGGATTGAAATTGTTACATTTCTAGGGAACCAGCCAAAGCAAAAGACAGCACCCATTGTAGCATAAGAAATCATATAATTTCATCAGTTCTACTGCTCTTATGAGCCAAACCTGAAAAAATACTGGAATACTGGTGGTTTTTTCACTACCAAACAAATTGCACTATGCTCACTTATCATTTCTATCAACTCCTGAACTTTAAAGAAAATTACCAGTTGTGACTTGCATTTAACAGGTAGATCTGAGACACAAGGGTTAAATCTGTTAAACTTCTAACCAGGGTATTCTGAATGCCCAGAAACCTCATTATAAAGTACTTTATATTCTCTATGTTTTATTTCTAGTAAGTGCCCACATGTATCAATTGTTTCATGGTCACTCCATCTCCTACATAAAATCTATATGCCTTGACAACTTTTCCTTCTCTGTCTTCTCAAAGTCTTCCTCTATTAAAATATGAACTCCTTGAGGTGAGGGAAAATGCAGTAGTTAAGCACTGAGGCCATTGCCTGTCCTGATTTTAACTAAGGAGTAGACCTGAGCTAGACAGCTGTCAGCCAACAGATGAATAAGAAACTCCCTTGTACTCAATGCGCTTACAGTCAATAGAGAACAACCTGCACCAAAATTATTATCCAACTACTGATAATAGTCCACTGCGTAATAAACAAATGAGATACAAAGTGAGGGAGAGACTCAAAAAGGGTCAGTCAGTACTAACCCATGTGCTGGACAGAGTAGGAAGGGGCAATAGGGGAGGCTGCAGTCCATTCGTGGGGGCACCATATTGCTTGACCAGTAGGAGAGTGAAGAACCCCTCCATGTACACAGTGACCCCATCTTGACACCAATTATATTTAGAACAGAGGGAGAGGAGATACTTCATAGAAATTCTGTAAAACTTTAATTTATTCAATAGTTCTATTTGTTCTGAGACTTGAAACTCAACGCTTTAAATTCCCTTTATCATTAGTCTTTACTCATTATGTTTTTACAAGTGAAGGCTTTTTAAGTTTCTACAGTTCCAAACTAAGAGGGGAAAAAAAAAAAAAAAAAAAACCTTAGGAAGCTAGCCAGGCACAGTGGTTCACTCATGCAATCCCAGCTATCAGAAGGCAGAAATAGAGAAGACAGCAGTTCAAAGCCAGCCCAGGCAAAAAGTTGGCAGGAATCCATCTCAATGAATAAAAAGATGGGTGTGGTGGCACACACCTGTTATCCCAGCCACGTGGGAGATATAAATAGGAGGATTGCAGTCAGGACAAGCTGGCCATAAATTCAAGATCCCATCCCCAAAAATAACAACAAAAGCAAAAAGAGCTGATGGACTGGCTCAAGTGGTAGAAGGCCCACTTGAGGCCTGAAGTTCAAACCCTAACACCGAAGGAAAAAAAAATAAGGAGACAGACATCTCCCAAAGTAAAGTGCTCTATTTACAAAGAAAAAACTTAATAGTGTGGACTCAAGAACAACTTCTACAACCAACCACCAGAGCCACTAAAAAAGCCAGGAATAAACCTTACCACTCTAAACAACACACACATACCTTTCTGGGTCAAGTCAGTCATCATATCATATAGTATATAAGTACTATAAGTAGGATGTTTTCATACTGAATTACTTTTCCCAAATTAAGAATTCAACTAAGTCATTTAGAATTTATAGGAAGAAAAATCACACTTAGAAAAGTGGGAGGGAAATTCCTTTTTCTCAAAAATAATGCCCCCAAAATAAGTAGTCACCTTCTACCAAGTCCATACATCTGTCAAATTATAGGTTGCCTTTCAAATGTGGAACTTTATCTTGAAACAAACTCCTGCTTGACTTATTTTAATGGATGAAGACACATTAGAATAAAGTTACTCAATCAATGGTTTGGATAAATAAAAGATTACCTAACAATCAGCTGGGCACCAGTGGCTCACATCTGTAATCCTAGCTACTTAGGAGGCTAAGGTCAGGAAGATCTTTGAGGCCAGCCTGGGCAAATAGTTGGTAAAGCCCACCTCTATCTCCAAAATAACCAAGCAAAATGGACTGCAGGTGTGGCTGAAGCAGCAGAGGGCCTACCTTGCTGGGTTCAAAACCCCAATCCCACCAAGCAAAAAAGAAATTTAACACAGATCCAGTAATTATTCTGAGGATGGGGATCTAACAAATTACAATTGCTGTTATTAAAAAAAAAAATCTTAACAGGGCTGTCAGAGTAGCTCAAGTAGTAGAACTTCTGCCTAGCAAGTGTGAGGTCCTGAGTTCAAACCCCACTAGTCCCAAAACAAACAAACAAAAAACTCTCAAAAAAATAATCTTGGTAAGCAGTGTATAAAACAAGTGGTTAAATTATACAACCATATGGCCAACCACCCAAATGTTAAATAAATAAGTACCTGGGACTTAGAATAACACACCCAGTGACTTGGTTATAAACACATTTGGGCAGTACTGGAGTTTGAACTCAGGGCCTCATGCTTGCTAGGTAGGTGCTCTATCACTTGAGCCACTATGCCAGCCCTTTTTTGGTGTGTGTATTGGGTATTTTCAAAATAGGGTCTCATGAACTATTTACCCAGGCTGGCTTTGAACTGTGATCCCCTTGATCTCTACCTACTGAGTAGCTAGGATTACAGGCATAAGCCACTGGCAACTGACTAGAAACAGATTTTAAAAGTATAATATTTCAATAATATAAAAGGAAATGAAGATGCTATCTAAACTAGGAAACTAATATGACTCAAAAAGTGAGTTAGTACATACTCTCATGATAAAGTCACTGATGTCAAAGTACTTTTGAAGAATACACACTTCATTCAGTTTTTATAGTACCTTATATTTAGGTGCCTCATTATTAGGTCAAAATAGGAATTTCACCTTATCATGACTTCATCAACTCTTTCGATCCATAAGTTTAAATTTGAGGTCTAAATACCAACTCCTCTTAAAGATGTTTCAGGGACTAAGAGAATCTTTCCAAAAAATACTTTCTTATGACCTCAACCTAGTCAAGCACCAAGCAGTGGCCCACACCTATTTATGGGCCACCCTGGCCCGTAGAGACCAGAAACTGTGTTCTGCCTGTGTCCTGGGATTTTCTCCTGGCCCTATCAGACTCCCCAGACACAAAGCTCCTTGCCAAGGTCTAGGATGCTCATAAACTGCTCAAGAGTTCAGCTGACTCAATTCTTTTTCCATCATGAGCTTTTGATGCACACATTTTTAATTTGATTTCACCAGGGTGAACAGATGAATGTGGGTCCCAGATAAAATCTGGGACAGCCAGAGCCTTGTCTCTTGTTCCGCCTGTGCTGCCTCTGAGTCCTGCTCAGTATAAAGCACCAAGAGCAGTCGCAGAGGAAAGAATGGAGTAATCTCCTGAAATAACATGTGGAACACAGGAGCAGCCGGGACACGTCTGGGAGCTGACAGCTCAGAGAACCAGCAGCCCAAACTGCCAGTGCCTTCTCCCAGAGGCTGATGACATGCAATTGTTGGCCATGGTTTTAAGCAGTGAGCTAAGTAAGAAATTCATTCTCCATGCAAATTATCCTTCTCCTTACAATGATGGGTGGAAGAGAATTCTTACTAAATAATCTAAATCAAAAATGTTTTAATTTAGCTTGTGCACACAGAAAAAGAAAACTGTCAAAACATGGCTCTAAAGATGATAATTATATAATAACCAAAATGCTTCATTGTTTACCCTTTCACTATAAGAAGCTCCGCGCTAAAGTAACACTTATCTAGAAAACAACTATCCTTTCTTCAAGCTTTTCTTTAGGTCCCCAGCTTCTCCTGTGTATAATATGAACCTCTAAGAGCTCAGGATACACCTTTCCTTTGTCTACAGACTGTAGTGGTACACATTGACAGAAGGCACCACTACCACATATTATTTTATCTTCAATTGGGAGACAGGAGGTCTGGATGTCATAAGAGAATCAGATCTATAATGCTTACAGTTCTGCAAATCAAGCTTATTAAAATAATCAAACATTTGGTTATAAAAATGTTTTAGCTGTATAAAGACTTTAATAAAAGGTATTAAACTCTAGTAAGCCCAGTGGTATGAACACAGTAAGCACATTGGTAAATTATACCCTAATGCATACAACTTTAAGTTCCTGATACTCAGTACTATTACTATGTCATATTATCTTTAAATTATGAATGAAACTCATTGTGAAATTAGATTGCTACACAGGCTGAAAGGAATGTGAAAGTCCAGACTCACCTGACTTGGCATGTTTTCCTTCACACGTGTCCAAGCTCCAGCTTTGTATAAGTACTGAGCGGGGCTCAGAAATTTTGCTCTATATTCAGAATTCACCTTCCTAACAGAGATGAAATCAAAGTAAATATTTTAGTATGTTAACCATCTAAATACTATGACATGTTTCTTATAAAATACATACCCAAGCCTTTGATGTCTCCAAGGAGTAAGCTTCTTTTTAGGTTGGGTTGAGTCTTTTGATGCCATCTCTACTTCTAATTTTAAAGGATCATCTGTTTTATCACACTAAAATGGAAATAATTTAAGCCTTTATGCTTAAAATATGTTAAACATTAAAGTAAAAATGTAGATGTTATAAAAGTAGGGTTGAATATTATATTGCATTTCTATTTTCAGAAGTAAACTTCTGAAATAACAGAAATCACAACAAATCAACAAGCAAGTTTTGAAACCAGCATTTCTGTTTAGCGTTTCTGAAGTACAGTTCAGTATACAGCTTCATTTTCTAACAATAAAGATTTTAGATACTTAACTAGGGAAGAAAATTTAAAGATTAACAAGTATATACATAAACAAGCAAGCATAATACATATTGATCTTAGACATGCCCTTGATATTCTAAATTTTAGTGTGCTACAGCAGTAAATGTAAGGTTCTGATAATTAAGTCATTATAATGCTTTACTAAATAACCAAACAATTATTTCCCACCCCCAAGAATGTCATAGGTCCAAAAATCCAAGTATACGTGTATTTGCATGATTTTACTTTTAGTCATATACTTGTATTTTTAGGAACCATAAAGTATCAGGTATAAACATTATGGAAATTCAAAAGTAGTATTTATACTTCATTTTCTTATAATTTGCAATGATTTTAGCCTGATGCTCCAACTTAAAATGGTTATAATTTTACACAGAATTTGTTTGCACTGAGGTGAACAATGTGAATTATAATGGCTATAGTTACCTGCTAAAGCTTTGATTTAAAACACATGTGATGAGATGGGTGCATGCATGTGTGTGTCTTTAATTTCTACTAAATTTAACATACATGCTTCTATTACTCCTGTTACTCCTGGAGCTTACATTACTGTAAGGCCAATCAATCATTTGCCTTTAGACCTAGAAGGCTCACCTACTGTTTCACCAAGTATTCATCCCACTGTGTTAGTTTCATGTATGTCTCCCCACCAGTCTAAGAGCTGCCGGGCCTTAGGGTGTTTATCATCCTGTACTCTCTCCACCTACCCAGTGTCTGACTCCAAGTAAATATTCAGTGGACATCCGACATTTAGTGAACAAATAAATGAATTAAACTAGCAAAAGAGATCTCAGGTGGTAGTGAAAGAAAATGTGTAGATCTAGTGTCATGGAGATGTGCTTAAAGTTTAGGAGTTGATAGATACCTTCTTTTCAGGTGATACTGTCTCAAAATTTCCGTTTTCTTTCAAGTTGTTTCTTAGTTTTGGTTCTTTTGCTGGAGAAAAACCCTTGAAATTTCTTTTGTATTCCGTTTCATGGATGATTGAGTTACCTTTGAATTGTGGAACAAATTTGCTTTTATTGTGGAAAACCTTAAAACAAAAATTAGTTTAGTTTAGTTTTTTTCTAGTTAGATTATTAGAACTTAGGTTTCAACTGCTTTTAGTAATTCATACATAGAGTTGAATTATAGAACACAAAAAGCAGAATTATACATGATTGTAATTTCATTTCACATGTCTAATGAATGTCCAAAGGTCAAATTTTTATACTCATTACTACACTTTGAATTCATAGTAAAACCAAACTAAATAATAAACCATGGTTGTGTTTGGTCTTTTTTCCCCCAGAGTTTCCCAGCCTTCCTCCTGCCCATCAGTTTGGTATTGGAATAGACATTAGCTTTATTAAGCAAAGTTGTCATCTCTATGGGTTTTGTTTTTTGTTTTTTTTTTTTTTTGGCATAAACTTTCTTTCTTCCTGAAATAAGAAATTCTTAGTATTTTGAATACTTGTTATGTTCAATCTGGGATTTTTTTTTCTTTGCTTATTTTTAGCTTTTTCATTAGGGTAAGGAAAAGTTTGGGTAATTACTCTATTTATCTTTTTAAATGTTTCCTCTTTATTCCAGTATTTCACAAAACGGTTTCCATCTTATGGTCTATTACTACTGATTACAAGGAAAGAAGTGGAGAGAGAGAGCTCGAGTCAGGAACGCCATGCTGCTGCTGCATAGTGCTGAGTGCTGAGTGGCACATCTTCACACAGATCCATCTAAACAGTACACCTTTTTATACATTGCCTTGAGGACTCTCAGGTCAAAACTGCTCTGACTTCTTTACGTATTAATAGAAGACATTCTTTCAGCAAACAGGTGTCTGATAAAATAGAACTGAACGGCTCCATTATACACAGAGCTCTTCCATCTGCAGACCCCAAAAATGATAGCTTTGAACTTACAAAGCACATTTGCTTCCAAAAGGAGCTCTTTGAAACCCTCACTAATGAAAGCAATAAAATTACTAGTGAAGGTATGGCTGGTGATTTATGCTATAAAGTACTTCAGATCCTATAAAAATAACATCTCTATATGATGATTTCACTGGCATGTAAAATTTATCAAGAGGGCTTTGATCTGAACAAGCTCTAGTTGATAGGTCAAACACTCTATAAAAACTGAACAAGCATGATTTTTAGATTATAAGTAATTTTTTGGCACACTTACTATTCAAGAACATCTGTAAGTAGGCAAAAGAAGGAGCAATCCTGTGTACTAGGTTAATAAAGAGTACATATCACTTTATGTTTCTAAACTGTTATATGATTTCAATAACAAGTAAACAAAGCTGCCACAATTTACATGATGAGTGCTGCTATTATCTTAGTGTAAAGATGGCTGACATTATTGTGTTACTGAATCTAACTATCTTCTCAGTTTTTAGAGGCATATAAGTACACAAGCAGATTAAGTACAACAGAAAATGAATGCAAAGGTGCATGGACTGTGTATGTGTGTGTGTGTTTATAAAGAAAAACACAAAAACCAAGAAAAACAAAAGACTAAGCTGCCACGGGCCTCTGGGAATATTAAAAATGGAGGTATTTCCTTCCTTAGACCAGGAAGTATGGTTAAGAACACAAAGAAGTATTTATTAGCAATGGTAGCTCAATACTAAAATTGTGCAAGAACACAATGAAATCTAGTATCGCACTTAGGTATCATTATAGCTTTTGATTTGACAAATACAGTTAAACTGTAAATTCTATTATCCATGTGATGTAAGGACAAAATTAAATATCCACTGTTAACTTTCAACATATTTTCTATTTATTCAAGTAAATATCCAAAGCAGTAATGCCTTTCTTAAAAAAGCAAAAAACATGCAAATATATTAGTCAACTAAACATAGCATTTTTTTAAAAAACCAATTTAATGATTTTAAAATGAAAAAAATCTTTGGCATACAAAAACTTACCAGTTCCCCCTGTTTTCCTCAGCCTAGTGTATGTGAAGGATCCGGCAACAGTGATCATCAATAGCTTAGAACAGTGTAATACTACTACTGAAAATTCTAAGAGGACAGTTTTAGCAACACCCTCACTCTCAGTTTTCTAGAACCTACCTCCAGGCCCATGTAAGTACCAGATTTTGCTCAGCTTTCATGCTATATAAATCTGCATTACTGCATCAGACACCCACCCTCAGAAATACATTACACCTGTTAAACTACCTGATTGGCTGCGAACACTGGAGTGGATTCTTTAGAGGTCTTCCAAACAAACTGCCTTTGATATTCAGAATTTCTCAAGGCATTATGAGAAGGACCCACAGTCAATCCAGCTTTCTTACGTAGAAGTCTATCCAACTGTTAGGGGAAAAAAACACACTCAAAGCCATTAAAAACTACTACTCAAACTTTTGCTTTAATTGTGCTAAAAAACACAACACAAATCTACCGTCTTAATCTTACAGTATTACTAACTATATGCACACTGTTGTACAACAAACTTTTCTCAACTTCTAAATGATCCCTTTTTTGAACAGTCAAACAATTTAAAATTCCTTTCTCAATACTGTCAAGGGACTATTATGCAGTCCAGAAAAGGGTAACCTCTCAGTCCCTTCCAACCAATCATTCATAATTAATCTATTACCAAAAAAACTCTTGGCCTTATACATCCATTGCTTGTGTGGACGACCCTTCCCGTCCACCAGACTCACACATCACCTTTTTGGATTCCCCTGCACTCTCTGGCTTTCTCCACAAGCCCCAGAAGCTCCTCCACTAGCACTCCCAAATGCCTCTCCAGGATTCCAGTCAGTAGTGAAGTGAAAGAGGGAAAGAGTAATGGACTGGAGAAAGACATGTGGAAGGCAGTGAGGTCCCCACACTGCCCCTGCAGCCTCTGCTTATGTGCCTGCAGACACCTGCTGCAGGCCAGCTGTGACATAAGAGAACAGAACTGTAAGCCCTTTGAGAGCCAGCCAGAACCCTCCTTCCTTTTGCATTTTGTCAATTGAAATTCTGTTTGCTTTCTTTCTGGTGCACAATAAGAAACTGAAATGGAGATAGGTAGAAGTCAGCTCTGCACCCCTGCCAGAAGCAATGGCCTACTCCTCTTCTCTGTCGCAACCAGATCATTCCCTTAGGACTCAGGTGCTGGTCTATGATGAATAAAGCCAGAGGCAGACTGTCCACCCAATGAAGGCATCTTAGTGTAACCAGTGCAAAATACTGAGCATTAACAACAGAACCATTCACAATAACTAAACAGCCTATCAACTATACAATAGACATGAGACAAGAAAATAACAATGGAAAAATTTTAGATACAAAATGTATTATTACTGAACTAATCAAACCAACAAGAACTGTATGCTTTTGAAAAGAAATATAGTTGATAAGCCTACCCCATTATCTACATTTTCTGAAGGAAGCTTTGTAGAATGTTCCAGTTCCACATTTTCATTAACTGGTATATGGCTTGTTATTTCATCTTCATTCTTTTCCACAGCATCTTTAGCCCCTTCAGCTCTGGAGTCTGCAGAATGAGATCGGGTTCTCTTGGGAACCCTGGAGGCCTCTAGTGACAGAACTCTTTCTTGGTTCACATCTTTTTGTTCTGCCTTTTGTGATTTTGGTGTTTCTGGAGCTTCAGGTTTTGGTAAATCAACCACATCGTTCTCTGAGATCGCTCCATTCCACTCGAGAGACTTTGAAATCTGTGGGTCATAGTAGGGGACTCTTCGTTTTGAAATAAAACCTGGCTCTTTTGTGATCCCTACAAAACATAGTATACAAAAATAGTAGCTACCAAAGCACAAAGTTAGAAAGATGACTTTTAATAACACCTGTGAAAGGAAAAATGGAATTTTTTTTCAATTTCACCTACTTTACTACTTTTTACCATCCACCACAAATTTATACAATTTCAGTAGGTTTCATTATGCTATTTTTCACATACATACAATGTATTTTGATAATATTCACCATCCCATTACCCTCTCCTTTCTTCCTCCTCCTATCCCACTGGTTCATCCTCCTAACAGTACCTAACAGAAATTGTGTGTAAAAGGAGTACTGAAAAATGGAATTTAAAATTCAGTTGAGACATAAACACACACACACACACACAGAGTTTCCTTCAGATTACAACACTAATTTTGTTTTTAAGAAGTGTTAAAAGTTTGACTGTAACAAAAAATTAAAAATTGGGGTCACAATGTTCAAGTTATCCTTCCACAGTCACTAGAATTGCAACATGAGGGATCTGGCAAGCCCGGCAGGACATGCTGCCTCCGTTTCTAATTACTTTCCTGTGCTACTTAACAGAACAATGGGCCCTGGTCTGTCAAAATTTGGAACTTTTCACAAAGCTTCTCTTATGCAGAGCAGACCAAGATGAGAAGGAATGAGATGTCATTATGCTGGATCCTGGTTCTACTTTTGCCTTGATTTCCTGAGAAATAAAATGAATGAAACCTTTTAACAAGAGCTAAGATACAATTTCTCTATATTTCTGTCTGGCAAGCAAATATCCAAAAACTTAACCTTCTACTGAGGTAAGAGGAGCCCTACAAATGACAGCCACTGAGCTAATGTCCTAGTTTGGAGCCATTCTTTAAATAGAAAGAAGTCTATGCACGGTGAGGAAGGAAGATTAAGACCAGAATGGCAGGAAAAGGAAGGTGGACAGAAAATCAGGCATGAGGTAAAACTCAAAGCTCCCTAGCCTAGCTCAGGGACGTTTTGGCCATGGAACTCAAAGTTCCCATCCTTACAGCCTTCCCTAGATCAGTCGGCTTCTAATGGGTGCATAGAAGACAAAAGCACACAAAGACACCCTGGGGGAAGGAGGGATGGCAAACAGAAATAAGTATTTTCCAGATCCTAAACTTGACACTGGTCAATCATCTTGAGAGCTGCATCTGCCATCTGCAATTCCATCTCCCACCACCCCTTTCATAACCACCCTACTCCCACTTTACAAAGGACAGACCTGCCTCTCAACCAGCTTGAAACTTACTATGATGCACCACCCCCAATGTATTACAAAAATCTCAGAAGGGCAAGTGAAGAAAGCATAATTCCTGAGGGAGAATATTTGACAAGAGAACAAAGGCAGAGACTAGAAAGAACAAAGGAGGGGCACCTTCATACAGTTTCATACCTTTTCTATCCACCTATCTTAGAATTACAATTCAGGTAGGAGAGGGCTGTCATGTGAAATGCACAGATGCACATTAACTTTGAGTCCAAAGATAACATTAGTTTTTCTGACAGAAGACAATAACTCTAATTTGGCTGATCAGTTTGCCAATGAGGACTGACTCTGCCAATTACACAATGAACATTTTCCATAAATTGAATAGCTAAGTTGGCAGCTCCAAAGTTTTAATAAAATATTCAAAACATATATACAATGTACAAGATCCCAGAAAGTACATCCTTTGAAACTATTTGGAAAACTTAGAATAAGAAAAGTAAGTATCAACTTTAAAATGTATGGGGGTCGGGTACCAAGATTTTCTAAATCTGCCCCCGTTCCGCACTGAACCCAGGGCCCTGCACATGCTAGGCAAGCACTCAACAAACCACAGCCCTCTAAATTCTTTTATGAAGTATGAAAGCAAAAACGTTTGAAGACTACTGCCTTAGGCTTCTCCTTTATCACAGGCTCAGGATATGGGGAGATGAGCAAAATGAAAAGGTGAAAATTGGCAGGTAGTCTGCCTTTTGTCTCCCCACCAGCAAATCCCCAGAGGGAAAATGCTCCATAAGTTAAGAGTATATACAGCCAGTCTCAGGTAAAAATCTGCTGTTCCTTGCTTATGTTCGTCCTTCATTTCTGAACATCCTGGAGTTCTCACTCCATCCCTTGTCCTTCCCTACAATTCCTGCAGACATTCCTCCCCAGAGGAGTAGATCTACTACTCTAGCTGAGTATCCAGATGCTTCAGAGGAACCCTAGAAGAGCCACAGACCTCTAGCCACTCTTACCTTTGTCTTCCACACCTAATCCTGGAAGTACTCTCCTTATTTTACTAGCTTCCCAGGCTTGGCACCCCACCCATAAGTCTTTTCTTTTCCTGGCTCCAAACATGTAAAGCTTGAGGAACTTACACACCATGTATCATTCTCATTCATGTCACTTATAGGGTACCAAACACTGATCTGTGTATACACACCAGTCCCTTATCAAGCAACATCTCATTTAAGCCATGCCATGGGCTTTCTAAGCCCCACTTGGAAAAACAGGTTCACAATTTGCCCAAGGTCAAACAGCTAGTGTGGAGTCAAACTCAGATTTATTCATTCATTCAAAAATTAGTTTTAATAAGGAGTATTCCAAAGCCCAGAGTTAGGTATTGACAAGAAACAGAGTCCAGCCCTCAGAGATCTTATATTCCAGTGTGGGAGAAATTAAACAAACTAGTACAATAAAGTCAGTGTGTCTCTTTTCTCTTCAATTGTGCTCTAGGAAATCTCAGCCCAGGGCTCTGAAATCCCTGGATATGGAAAGGAAGCATCTATAATGACAAGAACGTGACCTCTGAACCATGGGCTCTAAACAAAACCGATGTGATTTCAAATCATGCCTGTCACTGTGAACCTGAGCCAAGCTACTTTATCTAAGCTTCCCCTTCCTCAAGATTTTGGGAGTCCTTTTCCCCAAGCTTTTCCCCTTTCTGCTTTCAGGTACTACCTCAAAAGTAGAAAGAGTCTGTCTTGACCACAAAATCTAAAGTGTGTTTGCTTTAACCTACCTCTCCCCCATGTTATCTACCACTCTTCCCTACAATCTTATATATAACCTGAAATCCCCTTGTTTATTGAGTTACTTGGTTACTGACTCCACAATTAAGGGACTTGTCTGGTTCAGGGCTCTATCTCTAGCAGCTGGGAATACTCTGGGACCACTAGTAATACCTCAACAAATATTTATTAAATGAATGAACGAGACAACCAGGCCAACTGGATTTTGAATAAATCATTTTGTAAACTTAGTCCAAAGTTTACTCAAGTTATAATGGTTATGAGTTTGCTCAACTTACCTGTTTGATCTGATCGAAGTCCAGCCCATGGGTACTTTCGCCTCACTGAGGGATCACAGGACTCTGACAAATATGACTTTTTCCATAGAAAGTTTCTCTGATATTCACTCAGCCCCTGCAAACCAAAGTACCATTTAAATATAGCGCAATTAATGAACACTGCTTTTAAAACAACCGTCAGTAAAAATAACTTCTGAATCCCTGAAGAGAGGTGAGAGGCCTAAGAATGATAATTAAATACAGACAAGCGCCTTGATAATAGCTAATGTTTACCCAGCCCTGGACTGAACAGTTCAGGTGTTAGATCCTTTAATCCTAAACCACTTGAGGCAGATGCTGGCAGGAATCTCAGGCTCAGACAAACTACCCTTTCCTGGTTCTTGGGATTCCAAAGGAAGTTATCATCTGGTAACTGGGAACTACTGAAGTCCTCATAAATACAGATTTACCTTAAATTCCCACAAGTAAACTATATGTGTTATGCCCACTCCCTTCTGATATTTCAGTGAAGTCAACAAAGACAACTCCCCCTGCCATTCTATATAAAATCCCTCGAGAACTGAAGTAGGGATTTTGTGGAACTCTGTGGCCACCTGTTATGCGACAGTTCCTGACAGCTACCTGGAACTCTGAACAAATCCTAAAAACAAATGTGCAACCATTTCATTAAAAAATGTATATACTACTAGTGCTCTCTCTTTACCAATGGCCCATTTCTCAAGCCTTTAAAAGACATATTGACACCTACAGGGAAGGGGGAATTAAAAGCTAAACTGCGAGGCGGGTCACAGGTGTCCCAATCTGAAGTCGCCTTCCTTTCCCATTACAAAGTGCCCTCCTCCCATCCCCGCTCCTGGGTCCCCCAAAATCAATCTGTGTCGACAGCATCTGACTCTCCGGAAGTGCGGGTGTGCGGAGGAGCGGGTTGAGGGGAGACGTGCACTCCCGGGGCCCAGGCTCGGGGGATGGCAGCCTTGCCCGGCCGACGTGCGCAACGCACCCAGCGCGGCCACCGCGCCCCGCACCCGCCACGCCGCGGCTCCCCTGGCCTCCCGCGGGCTCGGAGACCCGGCCTCACCTTGAAGCGCACCGGCATGTCGCTCGGCGCTGCAGCCCCCCGCCACTCCGACAGTTAACGGGACAAAAAGCCCCGAGGGGGCGGGGCGACAACAGCCTGTTCCCTAGGAAAAGCCTCTGCCAGGCGTCCCCGACTACGCGCCGGCGCACTCCGCGCCTCTTGCCTTCAGCCCTGTCGCTCTACCTTTCCCCGCCCATTTTGAAGCTTAAAGACCAATAGAGACGCTCAAAGTTCCTCGCCGGCATTATGACTCGACCAATCAGCGCCCGACAGGGGACCTCCCACCTCTAGAGGCTAATACAGATGGCGGGCGGAAGGCTGACCAATGAGGTTCCGGGAACCGGGGTGGGCGGGGCCCCGCGGGAGCTTCGTCCTAGGACGGAAGCCATGAGTCCTGAATCGTGGCTCTGCACCACAATGGCTCAGCATTAGGTGTTGTTTGGGAGTAGACCGCCTTGCTGGGCCCAGATCCTTGACATCATAGAACATGAAAGTGTTTTCTTCATTCCACAATGTACGACAGAACCAGTGTTTTTCTGAAAGGAGACTGTTCGGGTCTATTCGTCTGAAAATCGGTTCCTACAACATTACACTATTGTCACATCAAAAGGAGAGGTCAGAAAATAAATATAGCTTAGACAGGTTCAAATAAAATTTATTGAAACTCCAAAGAAAACCGCTTTCTTCCTCCAGTGATGTTCTTCCTTTCTCAATCTCTGACCCCCGTTCAGAAAAAATGTACATGCCACGCTTGATTAGAAAACATGTATTAATCAGACTCGTGAGTCTCAACTTCCAAACCTTCAGCCTTGTTTCCTCGCCCTTTTTAAAAAATAAAATTCCGTCTGATTTTTATAGGTTATTGCCATCATCATAATCATCAATAAATATTTCTTGACAGAACGCTGTGCTGACTCTGAGGACTGGGAAAGAAAGAAATTGCCCAGGCGATCCTCTGATAGACTTGGGAAAGATGTGCGTATATGTATTCAATAATAGTATAATGTATCGTGTGCTCAATTCCCAAATACTAGGTGTAAATGAAAAGGGCCACAGGCATTTGGAGCAGGAAGTCATCCCTGAGGGTAGAAATGATTAGAAAAGGCTCAGGAGGAAAAATTCAGTCTTGGCCTTGACAGGAGGATTGCAATAAAAGGCAAGTGGAATGATCAAAGTGCAGATGTCCAGATGGAATGCTGCCAGGCTTCTTCCAAGAACAATGAATATGCCTTTTACTTTTGTCATTTGCTGACTGAAAAAAGCATTACTCTTCTAAGCGTTCAAATATTAACACCAATCCTTAATGCTCTCCTTCAAGCATTTTCTGCAAAAGCTTACCTTCCTGATTTCTAATTGATGTCTGTGTTATCAACACTGAGACACTTAAAAATTCATTTGAAAGAGCCACCTGATATCTGAAACAAAGAGAATATTAAATTAGCCCCTATGTAGCCAGGTATCCAGGGGGCTCTTGATTAATGTTAACTAGTGATGACAGCATCTCTGTTGTGTGATGGCAGAAAGAAGACACGGTAGAACATAAAAACAAAAGTCCTCTGCAGGAAGGCAGCCCAGGGCTTACAGAGTAGGAAAGACTTGTTGTACACACAATTTTGTTTCTACACAATGCTAAAGTGAACTCAGCAAAAGCCAAAATATAGAACATAGTCTGTCTGCTAAACAAGAGCCATGATCACTGCAGTAGAACTCTGCTGTGTAGGCAATAAATGACAGGAAAACCAAATGACAGATGGTAAAAATAACTTAGTCACATCCTAGGTTTGCTAGAGATGTACTACAAGGACTCAAGGAAGATTTTACTTTGTGATTATTGAAAAAAAAACCAAAAAACCTGCAATCACCCAATTTATGAGGCAAAGCTGTAGACAACCTCCCTCCATAAATGAGTTGTATAGCCTTTGTTTAACCAGCTCTTACCTTCTCTGCTACCACAGGAAATACACCCTACAAAGTTCCATCCAAGTGCTTTGGGAGTCCCTAGATGTCTCGCATGTGCTTACAGCTACACTGTGCTCAACAACACTGCCACTTGTCTCAATCATCATACATCTACAGGTGTCACTCTTACTGCTGGTCATTACAGTCACATTTAGCATGATAGTGAGTCTCCACTAGACTACTAGTGGAGACTAGTAGCCTACTTCTCAAATTGTCAAATCTGGTAAGATGACAAAGTGCCTCTCTCCCCTTTTTGTGTCACTCTTAAGTGAGCACTAAAGCATTTTAGAGATCTTTCTTTTCTTTTTCTTTCCTTCCTTCCTTCCTTCCTTCCTTCTTTCTTTCTTTCTTTCTTTCTTTTCATTTCTATTTTGGCCTTCCTTATCTCCAAAGGGCTCAAAGTGATGTCCATAGAGCATAAGCCACAAAGTGACTGCTCTGGTGATCAATCTCATGTTGTGCTTCTCTCTTCCACTAGGAGGTGCTCTGACTGGACAAGGGTATCATACCTGGCTCCCTCTTCCCTTTGTGGATTTCTCTGTTTCTCATGCAAATAGATTTCTATCTATTGCCTATGAGTACAACCTCAATGAAGGACAATGGCAATTCTGTTGACCCAGCATTAAACTCATTTAAGATTACCTAATGTATTGTTCTAATAACAAAAGGTGGAGAACAACCTGTCTAGAGGGAACTAGTTAAATATACTATGGTTCATCTGAGACCCAGAGAGGAACAGGTCTGCAGCAGGTCCTGAGGGCAGAGAAGTCTGCTCTGTCACTTAGGGCCTTCTGACCCAGCAATCCAGGTGGGCTGGGCCCCCTGCAGGTATAAAGTATTGTGTTCACTAGGATCCAGCCAGGAAAACAGAAACTACCTAGCCATTTCTACAAAAAAGAACTTCATATAAGCTATTAGTCAAGTAGTCATTGGAGAACTTCAAAAAGCTAAAAGAAGAAAGAGGATAGATAGTAACTCCAGGAAGCAGCTCACACCCTGAGGCTGACAGCCCAAAGGAAAAATGTCAGGGTTCCAAGAATGCACAGGTTTGCAGAATAGGCCTATGAGAGTGGGTCACTGCCCAGCCTCTGAAGGAACAAAATGAGGCTGCCTATAGGAATGCCAATCAGGAAGAAAGGAAAAAGAAACCCAGTGCCAGTGAGACACAAGGTCACTGTATGTAGGTCCTATGGAGAGGAACAGTAAGCAAAAAAAGAGTCTTTCCATCTCTCTCTAGGATCCTCAGAGCAAGCCTAACAGGGAGCTGGCCTTGTGGTTTACAGAGTCTGAAGGGTGAGACAGACTGACAGGCAACAGCTTATTAACTTGCACTCACCCATATATACCTGTAAAGAGAAAGAGGCATCTCTGAGCTAATGTGCAAGACTGAAAGGGAAAAGTAAGGTTATAACAGTCTACCAATCACTTGAAACAAAGGGAGAAAGATGAAGAAAAGAAAGAAAAACTGCCACATGATATCATATAATAGCATCACTTGCGGGGACTTTTTCCCTTACTCCTGAATCTAACTCCACAAGCAAGCAGTTATAAAGCATTTTATTCATGTTACATATAAGGACTTGGAAATGTTAAGATATTGGTAGCTACCATTGGGCATGTTCTCCTTTCACAAAATAAGCACTTCCATTGGTCCCCCTCAGAGTCATCTTGATTGACATACATTACAATAAAGCTGCTGCTTCTTTTAAAAACAAAAATCCTTTAAACCAACTTTGTTTGCACTTGAAATATAAATGTAGGATTCAATTACTTTACAAATCTAACAAAATCATCATTTTCTCAGTAGCAGTTGAAAAATTAGAGAATTTATATTTGCCTTTAGCTTTATTTTTATTTAAAAAAGAATTAAATAGGAGCAAAGTACCATGAGACAAGGGTGGAAGAAAAGGGCTGCAAAGATGATAAGATTCAGCCTCTGCCTTCAAAAATGACTATTATCTGATTGGGGGAAGAACACAACCACAAAGAACACAGGAAAGAGAAGAAAGGAAGAAGCCAGGCAAGGGCTACGTGTGAGCACCTGGATATTCTAAAGATGCTTTTAAAACTTATGCCAGAAAATTCGATCCAAGATGAGACAAAAGAGAAGACAGGATAAAAGAGATGCTTTTAAATTCCATACTGGGAAACACCTGATCTAGGGCCTTTCACTTTCTCTTTGTTCTGCCCATGCTTACTGAATGCGGGCCAGACTTCCCTCAGGAAGATTTAACTAACATTTGCTCCAGATCAGTTTCCCAAAAGGAAAATCATGTAAATCATGTGCTGCATGTACTGTCTATTCTCTTTCTCTCCCTCCCTCTCTCTCTCTCTCCTTTTCTCCCTCCCTCTCTTCCTCCCCTTACTGTCAGAAATCAGAGAAAAACTGTTTTTTCTATGTAATTTTCTCTTAAATACCTAACCAGGTGAATGAAATTCCAGTTGCCAGGCATCTTTAACGCTATACCTTTCTGACACTTAATTGGGCTTTCATTGGTAAATCTTGAGCTCAGACTTTGCCAAAAAGCAATCAGTCTAACCACTTTCTTGCCTTTTTCATAGGTATTAACTGATTTTTTTCCTCATATGAATGAATTTCTGATTGCACAGTGAAAATAAATGACAATTAAATAAATGTATTTTGTCTCAGAAGCAAAGTTGTTGATATTTCACATTAATGTCAATAAGAACTGAATAAACAGGGTCTGTGATTAAGATTTTCTAATGAGCCAAATACAATTTGCCCTCCAGATTTCTAGCTGTAAGATGCCTTTGTTGGCAAGGGAGTGTCTCTGGCTTTTGAATCAGTGGGGCACCTTTAGGAGGGCTTTGGAGGGACTCCAGATTCTCTTGACAACAAGGGTTCTTTTTCTTTCTTTCTTTTTTTTTTTTTTCTTTTGGTGAGCCTGAGGGACTCCTCACCATACAAGGCCATGGCTGAGTAAAGTAATTCTTAGTGAGGCATAAACCACTGCAAGCCTCGCATACCATAATAATAATATTGTGCCTCAGCTGACTCAGACAGAGGGAACAAAATTTGGGGGCACGAAATTCCTTTCATTTTAACGCCTTCACTGTTTCTGTGATTCTGCTATCTAAGAATTGCCTTCCCTTTTCCTCACCGATTATTCATTGTCTTAAATCACCATCCCTTTACAAAGCACCCACAGGGACACAG